CAGCTTTGCCAGAAGCCTCCCAACTGGCAACTCTGCCTGCTACAACGTCCTCCCCAGAAAGACGCGAATTTACGAATACCACCTGGAGTTCAATAACATCTCTGCCAGTCACGAGAATGCCAATCATCGCCCAGAGATCCGAATCCTCGCCTCGTCGGTTCCGAAAACGCACCTGGTGCCAATCTCCGGAAACAAGGTCACAATCAGTGATATATATATATATATAAAAACACCGGGACCCTGACTGGCCCAGGTAGCGGGCCACTGTGCTTTCAGCTCCCCCCGAGGTACACTCTGACGCCTACCAGCAAGCCCACCTATGATGTACTGGCTGACCTCGGGGTGGCGGAAATTACGGAGCAACACGATGCCTAGGGCCACTCGCCGCAGACGGGGGTCCGATGCGTCTGGGCCCCCGCTGGCGTCGCCGGAGATGCATGTCGGCTCACCCTCGTCGACGCTGCGGAGACAACCAGCTGAGAAGCTACTGCGGCCGTGAAACTCCCAGTCGTCCTGCATCTGCGGCTTAGAGACTGCAGTCCAAGATGCAGGTATGAGTCCCCACGGCCAGAAACAATCAAATTGCTGGTCCTGGGACGTCGCCGCTGGAATGAGGGATCCGCTAACTTCGTAAATAGCCGACCCCGCATTGCACCGACATACCTGCCAACGACTAAACGATCTTCGACCTGCTCCTAACATCGAGGACACCTCAGATCAACCGACATGCCATCAGCCCGATGATTCTCAAGTCTCTGTGATGAATCATGCCAACTGCCTGCTTGCGACTGCGAGGCCATGAAGCTCCGAGCGCGATGGACAACATGAGACCTGCCAGCCTGAGACCTCCTGGTCGCATTGTCCTGAGTTGATCAAGTAATCTGCGCAGCGAATATAAATGCATTCCCTGTTGAAGCCCTTCGCCGTCGAAGTGTCGTGATGCGGACAGCCAATGTTGTTGCATAGTCGCTACGTCCACATCGGCTAGGAAACCATCAAAGGTATTCAAAAAATGTCAATAAGACACTCATCAGGAAAAGCTGGATCTTGATCGTTTCCTGGTGAACCCCAATCGGTTGGTCCTCTGGGTACCCATCCAAAATAATACCAACACTGCCGACAGAGGCCCTCGTACATGACGGTGTCTGCGAACTGGCCCCAGGCTCTCCAACTTGGCACAGAGTTTGCCCCAAGTCTGCTGCATAGCCGGTCGTCTGGATGGGTGATCACGCCACTGCTGAAGCCACAATTGACACGCACCTCTGGCGAATTTGGTAGCTGGATCACACCCTGTGGTCTGGATGGCAAAGAGGGTCGTGAAGCATCTTCCTTTTTACCGAGCATAGCATGCTCCACCCAATCGCCGTCTGTGTTGAATCAGATACTCACCGGAACCACCGTGCAACTGAAAACACTAACTGCCAGCTGCCTGGCTTCCCTGATTCTCCAGCCGCGCTGTAACCCGCGCCTTGTGCAGGGTACAAGTGGACCTGCGAGCTGTACGATGACAGTCAGCATGTTTCACCACTCGCTTGAGTCTCTGCGATCGCATGTGCCTGCGCCCGCCACCCAAGTCAGCCCCAAGATAACTGCCCTGTCTGGTAGCTGTCAAACGAACACCTCGCCGACGTAGCCCACGAACGACGGCTATCGCGTCGGCATGGTGACTGCATGTGACCACCGACTGACTGGCAATGCGAAATTCCTGCTGCTGGAACTTCCGCGCAGTGCCCGTCAAACATTCAATCAGAGCAGCCTTCACCTGTTGACTGCGATAAATCATCAATCCATCACCGACGCCTCAAGCGTGGGTGGGCTACACATAATTTCTGCATCACCTAGTACGTCATAATTCTAGCATGCCGCGCTCCACCTCGAAGTCCTTGAATGATAGAGCGTGTAACTTCCATTGGATCGGAGAACGCCGAGATCTGACTCAGCGTACGAGGACATGCGAACTGCAAGATCTCAAGGTAGAGTATCGTCGGTGGGAATTCCAGACGAATAGCTGCGCGAACGAGTTTGAGCGAGGACATGGTATCATAATACTGTTCAATATCAACTAGGCTGTGACCATAAGGATTATCCAAGACACCCGCGGTTTCCTCTTCGAGCAGACGACGGAAGGCCTCCTGGAGAATTGAATTGCCACGGACCGCAGCATCCCAAGATGGAGGAGGAGGAGGAGGAGGAGGAAGAGGGATGAGGAGGAGGAGGTGGAGGAGGAGGAGGAGACGAGGAGGGAAGGAGGAGGAGGAGGAGGAGGAGGAGGAGACGAGGAGGGAAGGAGGAGGAGGAGGAGGAGGAGGAGACGAGGAGGGAAGGAGGAGGAGGAGGAGGAGACGAGGAGGGAAGGAGGAGGAGGAGGAGGAGACGAGGAGGGAAGGAGGAGGAGGAGACGAGGAGGGAAGGAGGAGCAGGAGGAGCAGGAGAGGTGGAGAAGGACATGGAGGAGGGGCAGGGAGCAGGACGCAGGCCGAGAGAGCGGGGCGCAGGGCAC